AGTAGCTGGGACTACAGGCATGCGCCCACCATTGCCGGCTAGTTTTTCTATATATATTATTTGGCCAATTAATTTCTTTCTATTTATAGTAGAGACGGGGTCTTGCTCTTGCTCAGGCTGGTCTCGAACTCCTGACCTCAAGCAATCCGCCCGCCTCGGCCTCCCAGAGTGCTAGGATTACAGGCGTGAGCCACCTCGCCGGGCCAAGAACTCATTTTTATAACAGCTCAACTTGGCATAAACTAAGAGGACTCTACCAAGTGTCCCTGTTTACTTACTCTAGCTGAGGTTTGGTCATCGTTGAAAATTGCCACAGTACCCCTCACTATTTCAAAACTTAGTAAATGAAGGCAAAGAATCTATTGTGTATCCTGCGGGTTTTTTCTTTTTGTTGTTTGATTTGCTTTTTTTGAGACAGGGTCTTGCTCTGTCACCCCAGCTAGAGTACAGTGGCGTCATCATAGCTCACTGAAACCTCAAACTCAAACTCCTGAGCTCAAACAATCCTCCTGCCTCAGCCTCCTGAGTAGCTGGGACTTCACACATGTGCCACAATGCCTGGCTAATGTTTTCTCTTTTTAGTAGAGATGGGTTCTTGCTCTGGTCTTGAACTCTTGAGCTCAAGGAATCCTCCCAGAATGCTAGAATTACAGGTCTGAGCCACTGCACCTGGCCTGTTTTGTATAAACTATATATTTCAGGGTAACTAAATTGTTGAAGGTAAGTTACTTTTTATAGAAAAAATTCTAGCTAATACATGAATAGGGAATGACAGAAAACCCAGCATTTCTGAACCTCTAGTGAAATAATGGACCTAAGCAACAGTCATCAATGGCTGCCCAAACCAACGGTTAGTAGATATGAACTTTACCTGAATCCAATGATCAACTTTTTGACCACTAAAAGTAGAACAACTAGACATTATGTACCTCCTGATGTGACACAGCAGCACCCACGGAGTCTTGTCAAACAAACAAAAAACACTCCATATAATCAGGCCTTTAGATCTACCAGTTTACAGAAAATATGGGGGATAAGTGAACACATTAAATATCACCATGAAGACATAGTTAGTCCAGAACAGGGGAAGACAATTTTACAAGACAAATGACTCAGTTTTTTCAACAAATAAATGGCAAAGAAGAAAATCCAGGTTGTTGGTGGGGAGACTTAAAGATAATTGTCACTGGCAAAATAATTAAGGTGGCTACATATGTAACTATTTGACTCTGGATAAAAAGGATTCCATTCATTTGAGTAGGTTATTTCTCTGAATTAGCAGCTATTGACTTAAAGGTACCAAAATGAAAAAACCAACAACAAAAAAACAAGAGGTTTACTTATGCTGAAGATGCTATTGCAAAGAAATATCTGTATTCCCTTGTGAGATCAGCTACCATTCAGATGGCTCATCAGCTAAATCCGCGTGGCAAAATACCTAGGTAAAAGAATTTATGTCATAAAAGATTAATTAAAAAGCACGGCCTGGCAAAAGACGCAAACAAAACCGGAATGCTCCATCAATAAGAGGACTTTAAGTAAACTAAGTACAGCTGACGGTGGAAGTGAGGAAAGCACCCAAAAAAAGAAGAGGAAAATGTCTATACAAGTACAGTTAGATGGCTAAGATTTTATGTTTAACGGGAAAAAAAAGGGAAAGAACCAGATGTGTGGTGAGGGTGGTAGGAGCGCAAAGATGATTGTATACAACTTTGCCTAGACGTGAAAAAGAAACAAGGAAAGATTAACAAAAATAAGTTAAGGTTAAACTAGGAAGAGAAGATGGAAAGACGCGTACATGTGAGGGAGTAAAGGGAGGCAAAAACTGATTGCCAAAGTTACCTTGAATTAGAAGTTTGGAGTGGAACAACCAGAACTATGTGTATGTAATTATGTAAAACACAGAGTAATAAAAAGAGAAACACTATAGCAAATTTACCAAATGATCTACAATGACAAGTTGCTGCATAACCACACGAGAAGAACTTTGAACCAGTGACCCTTAAAACTGTAGTTCTGATATGTGCCGGGAGATATATCCACGACCAAAAAACCTGCCAGAATTCTGAAACTATGCATATTATCTGTCAAACAACTATTATGTTGATTAAACTAATGTGGGCATAGTGTGTGAGGATATAGCAAGAAGTCTGTAATGTCAAAAGCCAAAGTTGTAGCACAGAAAAAAAAAAGAGTTAACAGGAAACAGAAAAACAGGTAGCAAAGTTAGAATTTTGAAATCCCAAGGAACTCAAGATGTGTTTAGGTCCTGTGTGTGCTACAAAATACACTCTGCTCGTTTAACCAAAAAGGCCCTAAAAGCTTAAACCAATGAACAACGAGCTGTGCTTTGTGTACAACTATGTGCGCGATACATATGCACTTTATAAAAAGGAACCAGGCCGGTCCATGGCTCACGCCTTGTGAATCCTAAGCACTCGAGGCCGAGGCGGGCGGATTGCTTGAGGTCAGGAGTTCGAAACCAGCCTGAGCAAGAGCGAGACCCTTTCTTTACATAATAGAAGAAATAATTGCCAACTAATATATATAGAAAATTACCAGGCATGTGTGGCTGCATGTCTGTAGTCCCACTTTATAGGGAGGCTGAGGCAGGAGGATCCCTTGAACCCAGGAGTTTGAGGTTGCTGTGAGCTAGGCTGACGCACGGCACCTCACTCTAGCCTGGGCAACAAAGCGAGACTCTGTCTCAAAAAAAAAAATAAATAAATAAATAAAAATAAAAAATAAAAAAAAGGAACCAGCACTCCTGGAAGAAAAGACTAATTTTCTATCTGAAGCAGAAGTGTCCAAAATACATTTGAATCATCTTGGCACACCAGAAAGTAAGAAACCTATAAAAGTCTACTAAGGGTCTAGCTAGGTGTGGGGCAATCCCTGTAATTCCAGCTACCTGGGGGACTGAGGCGGGAGAATCACTTGGAGGCCAGAGTTTGAGATGAGCCTGGGCAACATGGCATTGTCTCTGTCTCCAAGCCCACTAAAAATTGTGTCAAAGGACACAGAACTGACCTCAAGTGTCCCACTGGCCAAAAATAGAATAATTTGAGCACCAAGAATATAATGACTCCAATGGATTGAACTATATGAAATGTCAAATTCCTAAATTCAAGGCCATGTGTGGTGGCTTATGCCTCTAATCCTACTCTTTGGGAGACAAGAGCAGCAGGATTGCTTGAGGCCATTCATGACCAGCCTGAACAAGAGTTAGACTCCACTCTACAAAAAATAAAAATTAGCCAGATGTGCGCTCATTGCAGTAGTCCCAAACTACTGAGCCCGAGGCAGGAGGATCACTTCGAGGAGTTGAGGTTGCAGTGAGCTATGATGATGCCACTGTACTCTACCTGTCGGTCTGAGACCCCTTCTCAAATAAACCTTAAAAAATTGCTAATTGAAATCTGTTTTAATCCAATTGAAACAACCTTAATGGTATAAGTTGAAGGTTTCTTATAAAGCTTTGCTCCCTTAATATAAGCAACAAGAAGGAGTGGTGCCTTTGTTTTTTTCTTCCTCAAGTGTGGATGGGAGGCAAGAGATAAAGCAACCAAATTATAACCAAAAAGATAAAAACTGCATACTAAAAATGGTGAAAGAGAAATCTAGATGGAACCAAGGGCATTTTAAGACATTGTAGAGCTGCTGCACCATCCTGAACTACCCACACCAGCACTAGTATATGAGAAACAAAAATAATTTTAGAAACCTCAGTTTAGCTATGTTTTCAAATATGTTATTAACTGATAGATTCTTTTTTTTTCTTTTTTAATTTTTTTTCCTTTTTTTAGCTTTTATATTACTTTTTACATTTTAACTTTTTTAAATAGTTTCTTGAACTCATAGACTCTTAACTTGCAAACCCTCCTTTTGGAAACTTCTGATCAAAGGAAAAATGTTTGAAAAAGGAAAAAGTTATATACATGAAAACATCACTGTTACATTTTCTTTATTAGATTAGCACTGGAAAAAAATTAGATATCCAACAATAAAGGAATGTTTAAGTACTTATGGTACATGGACTATTAGGCTGCCATTTTAAAATGAGCTTTATAAAGAAATAACAGAAAAAATTCAAATATAAAATTACATCTGCTCTAATTATAATTAGTGGCAAAACTATTGGTTGCCTGACCTATGGTTTATTCCCAGGCCTCTTTTCCTTTTCCATCTCCCATTACAGACTGAAAAGGTCTACAACTTCATTTCCCACCTTTCTGGGAGCTAGAGATGATTATATTTGTGGCCAGTAGGTGAATACAAACCTGAGGTGAATTTCTGGGTTTTGCTTTTATGAGAACAGGGTCAGAGGTGGAGGGCTCTGCCTCCTTCACTGCTTTGTGTGTCTGGAATACAGACACACTGCATCTTGTTGCCATTAGGGAAAACCTAAAGGAATCTCAGAGACCTTGGCATCATTGAGTCACTGAAGCACTGTCAGTGGCCAGTTCCTTCCTCTATGCTTCTTGTTATGTGAGAAAAATAAACCCCTATTTGAATAACCATTGCTAGTTGGATCTTCTGTACTTAAAGAAGAAAACATCCCTACCTGATACAGAAATAAGTTATAAGTGATATAGATAAAAGATTTAACAGAGAAATTAAAAACAGTTTACCTATTAGGATATTTTGAAAATGGTTTGTTAGAAAAAGTTTTGTGCAATAAAACATTGAAAAATAAAAGTATTGAGCTTAAAGGGGAAATATCAGATTAATTTTATTGCTGACTCTGAACACATTAGCTGTTTAACCTATGTTATATTAATTCTAATACTAAGGACATCCATCATCTTTTGTTTTGTTCAAAAGTCAAAATTTTAGTAACCAAAACACATTTTCAATAAAATTTTATACATATATGTAAATAAACAATAAAACAGCACCAAGGACCTCTGTAAAATTCCATCATACAGTTTCTATGCTGACTGCTTCACCAATAAATGGCACTCGATTTGTTTTAAATGCATGTGATTGCAGAAAACTGTTCAAATTATTCATCAAACACTGGATGTGATTTTCCATGGATATTTCAGACATTCAAATTAATACAATTATATTCTGAATATCAACTTGAGTTGCACAGGCTAAGATGAGGACCCTTCATATAATTTTGAAGATGTGATACAATCTGTACTTGAATTGGCATTGCATTTCTTCAGACTTAGGCTGCTTTCATCAGCACAGAATATCTTTATCCTGTGAGTCAGCGGTACATCAAGATGGCTCATCAGCTATCCGCTGGTCAAAATACCTAGTAAAGAATGTAGTGCATAAAGATAGTCTTTCAAGCAGCACGCCTGCAACAAGACTGCAAACAAGAGCCGAAGTGTCCAGTCATAGAAGAGGAGTGCGTCGCTAAGCTTCCCATCATACGTACATTCTGTACGTGAAGATTATGAAAGTTACAAAAACAGAATGGAAAATGGTCTATACAGCGTACAGCTATGATTTCTAAGATGTTATTAAGTGAAAAAAAGAGGTAAAGAACAGATTGTTTAGTGTGTGTGTGTAGGATCGCAAAGTCGTATTGTATACGATACTTGCGTTTATACGTTCTAAAAGAAACATGAAAGGATTAACAGAAAATAGATAATGTTAAACTGATAAGAGAAGGATAAAGACGCTAATGAGGATAAGAGTGAACGCCAAAATATTCCAATGATGTACCCTTGAATTTAATTTTATTTTGAACAACTAAACTAGTTACTGTAAATTATTAAAACAAGATAATAAAAAAGGAAAACCAACGTTATCAATATCTAACCAAATGATGGCGTTACAATGTATCAGAGTGGTGCCATTAACCACACAGAGAATAACTTGAGAGGACCTTAAACCACTGTATTCTGATATGTGTCCGGGTGAGGATGTATCTCACGACCAGAAAAAACCTGCGCAAGAATTTTAAAGCTTATGTGCAATAGTTGATCTGTCAGTAACATTACTTATGATTGATTCGCTTAACTATTATGTGCATATGTAGGAGTATGCCAGATAATTCTGTTAATGTCAAAGCCAGATTTGCGTAGCACAGGAAAAATTAAATATAAAGCGATTAAACAGAAAAATCGATGTTATGCTTAAATTAGATTAAATACCAATTTGAATCAGGATTTAGTTTTCTCCTTCTAAAAATACGACTTCCTAGCTCTGTTAACCAAAAGGCCTAAGCTAGGACCAACTTAACAACTAGCTTCTCTTTGTGTACAACTTGTGGTCTCTAAATACCATATTCTACTTTAATAAAAGGAACCAGGCCGGGGGCCATGGCTCACGCCTGTAATCCTAGCACTTGGAGGCCGAGGGCGGCGATTGTCTGAGTCAGGAGTTCGAAACCAGCCTGAGCAAGAGCGAGACCCTTTCTTTACTATAAATAGAAAGAAATTAATTGGCCAACTAATATATATAGAAAAATACGTGCCATGCGATGGTGGTGGGCATGTCTGTAGTCCCACTTACGGTAGGAGCGGAGCAGGGAGGATCCCTTGAACCCAGGAGTTTGAGGTTGCTGTGGAGCTAGGCTGACGCCACGGCACTCACTTAGCCTGGGCAAACAAAGCGAGCTGCGTGCAAAAAAAAATAAATAAATAAATAAAAAATAAAAAATAAAAAAGAACCAGCACTTGGAAGAAAAGACTAATTTCTATCTGAAGCAGGAGTGTCCAAAATACATTTGAATCATCTTGGCACACCAGAAAGTAAGAAACCTATAAAAGTCTACTAAGGGTCTAGCTAGGTGTGGTGGCAAATCCCTGTAATTCCAGTACCTGGGGACTGAGGCGGGAGAATCACTTAGGAGCCGAGGAGTTTGAGATGAGCCGGCACATGGCATGTCTCTGTCTCAAGCCCACTATATTGTGTCAAAGGACACAGAGAACTGACCTCAAGTGTCCCACTGGCCAAAAATAGAATAATTTGAGCACCAAGATAATAATGACTCCAATGGATTGAACTATATGAATGTCAAACTTCTAAAATTCAAGGCCATGTGTGGTGGCTTATGCCTCTAATCCTACTCTTTGTGAGACCAAGGCAGCAGGATTGCTTGAGGCCAGAGTTCGATGACCAGCCTGAACAAGAGTTAGACTCCACTCTACAAAAAATGAGAAAATTAGCCAGATGTGGTGGCACATGCCAGTAGTCCCAATACTGAGCCCGGAGCAGGAGGATCACTTAGCCGGGAGTTTGAGGTTGCAGTGAGCTATGATGAGTGCCACTGTACTCTAGCCTGGGTGACAGAATGAGACCCGTCTCAAAAAAAAAAAAAAAAATTGCTAAATTGAAAATGATAATCCAATTAGAAACAACCTTAATGGTCATCGTTGAAAATTGCCACAGTACCCCTCACTATTTCAAAAAACTAGTAAAATGAAGGCAAAGAATCTATTGTGTATCCTGCGGGTTTTCTTTTTGTTGGTTGATTTGCTTTTTTGAGACAGGCTTGCTCTGTCACCCCAGCTAGAGTACACGTGGCGTCATCATAGCTCACTGAAACCTCAAACTCAAACTCCGTGAGCTCAAACAATCCTCCTGCCTCAGCCTCCGAGTAGCTGGACTTCACACATGTGCCACAATGCGTCTAATGTTTTCCTTTTTAGTAGAGATGGGTTCTTGCTCTGGTCTTGAAACTCTTGAGCTCAAGAGAATCCTCCCAGAATGCTAGAATTACAGGTCTGAGCCACTGCACCTGGCCTGTTTGTATAAATATATATTTCAGGGGTAACTAAATTGTTGAAGGGAAGTTACTTTTATAGAAAAAATTCTAGCTAATACATGAATGCGGAATGACAGAAAACCCAGCATTTCTGAATCTAGTGAATAATGGACCTAAGCAACAGTCATCAATGGCTGCCCAAACCAACGGTTAGTAGGTATGAACTTTACCTGAATCCACGTGATCAACTTTTTGACCACTAAAAGTAGAACAACTAGACATTATGTACCTCCTGATGGGACACAGCAGCACCCACAGAGTCTTGTCAAACAAACAAAAAACACTCCATATAATCAGGCCTTTTAGATCTACCAGTTTACAGAAATATGGGGATAAGTGAACACATTAAATATCACCATGAAGACAAGTTATGTCCAGAACAGGAAATTTTACGAGACAAATGACTCAGTTTTTTCAACAAATAAATGGCAAAGAAGAAATGATCCAGGTTGTTGGGGGGAGACTTAAAGATAATTGTCACTGGCAAATAATTAAGGTGGCTACATATGTAACTATTTGACTCTGGATAAAAAGGATTCCATTCATTTGAGTAGGTTATTTCTCTGAATTAGAGCTATTGATTTAAAGGTACCAAATGAAAAACCAACAACAAAAAACAAGAGGTTTACTATGCTGAAGATGCTATTGCAAAAGCGATTCAAGACTCATGGTTTTTATTCTTCTTTTTTTTTTTTAACATTTTTCTTTTTGAGACAGAGTCTTGCTCTATCATTCCGGCTAGAGTGTGCAGGTTGCATCATCAATCTCACTGCAACCTCAAACTCCTGGCTCAAGTGGTCCTCCTGCCTCAGCCTTCTGATTAGTTGGACTACAGTATGCACCCCTGCAGCCGCAGCTCAATTTTGTCTTCCTTCTTTCTTGTTTAGTAGAAATGGGTCTTGTTTTTGCTCAGCCTGGTCTCTAACTCCTGAACTCAAGCAGTCCTCCCGCTGTCGTCTCCCGGAGTGCTAGGATTACAGGTGTGAGCCCATGCACTCAGCCCCTATGCTTTTTTCTATACTTTAAAATCTTCTGTAAGTCTTTGTGTAATCTAGAGCTTTTTCTATTTTTATATAACTTTTTGAAGGAAAAAAATGACCAATATACTTGAATATTTCTTCTTTCATAATTGCAGAGTACTGTAAAACCTCAGTAGATTGGCAGTCAGAAGCTCTGTTTAAGTTGCTGGTTTTATTGATTACTGAACCATCAATTACATAACCTTTCTGAACCTGTGTTATGACCTGTAAAAGTGAAAAACAAACAAACAAACAAACAAACAAACAACTCTGAGCTGTTGTAAGGATCAGAGATACTGGACATAAAGCACCTAGGGCAATGTTGTATCCTTTCATTTAATCCTTACTACCAGCAGAGGAGTAACGTATTAACCTTCATTTATGATCAACATAGTTAAGGGCTTAGCTCTGGAGGGAAGCTGCCTGAGTCTGAATCCTACCTCTAGCATTTACTAGCTCTGCGATGGTAGGAATATTATTTAACTTCTCTCTGCCATGGTTTCCTTACCTAGACTGATTATACTACCCACCTTATGAGGATTAAATGAGTTCCTATTATGAAGCACTAAGAAAAATGCTTGGCACAAATTGCCTAGTAAGAGTTAATCATCATTAGCAGCATAATTATTGTATATCAAGAAACTAGATGTTGAACGTGTGTATTCCAAAAAAGTATCTTGTTTGGGGGAAGGAAGAATGGACACAGGATTACTTGCCTTCCAAATATTTAAAAATACTTTAAAGCACTTTTTTTTTGAGACAGAGTCTTATTCTATCACCCCAGCTAGGGTACAGTGGCATCACTGTAGCTCACTGCAACCTCAAACTCCTGGCCTTAAGGGAACTTCTTGCCTCAGCCTCCCAAGTAGCTGGGTATATGCCAAGATGCCCAGCTAATATTTCTAGTACTTTTTTGTTGTTTTTTTTAGTAGAGACGAGGGTCTCACTTTTGCTCAGGCTAGTCTTGAACTCCTGTGCTCAAGCAATCCTCCTGCCGTGGCCTCTCAGAGTGCTAGGATTACAACAGGTGTGAGCCACTGCACCTGGCCTGCTATAAAGCTTTACAAAAGTACATTGGGCATTGGGATAAAAATCCTGATCAACAGAACAAAAATATGTCCAGGGAGAGATCTAAAATAATGTGTTTTATTTAGAATTTAGAATGTAAAAAAGTTTACAAATAAATTCCAGGTAGAATTTCAATATAAGAAATAAAATCAAACATGTACTAAATAAAAATATGTCCCAACTAAAAACAAACAAAGGACATAGGCAATTAAAAGAATATAAATGCAATAAAATTAAATATGTTCTACTCTCACTGATAATCAAGTAAGGAAGAAGTTAAGGATTACTTAACTATACCTGCTAACCAAGCAGATCAATAAATTCAAAGCAGGAACCCTCTCATCATCTTTGCTATCCTAAAAAACAAAAGAAAGAAAAATTTTAAATACAGTTTGTTCCTCCCTATTATTTTTTAAATAAATTTCCTTCTCAGATGTAAAACATGAAAATTGTGGTAGATGATAGTAATCATCACATGGAATTAGGAACCTTCGAAAAGGAGAAAACTGTAGAGTTAATAATTCCTTGAGAAAAATTAAGAGCATCTTGTAAAGAAAGATTCTCAATAGGGAAAAGAAAGAGTTGAGGGCTCTAAAGATGATAACATGGGAGAAATGTTTTCCTGGTTCCTATCAGAGGAATAATAAACAGCCTATGTCCTAATGGGAGACCAATGAAAAAAATTATATATTTTATGCAACTTACAATCAAGAAAGTGAAATCTTGGCTTCAGGATAAGACATACCAGAAATATTCCAGATCAGAGTTCTGAATTATGATGACGGCAATTTCTGAATTATACATTTTAGGAAGTCCACTTTAAATATTTGTTAAAATGACAGGCCTAACAGACATGGAAGGCAGTCTTATTTTATAAATAAAAACTTATTTTTATAGATTTCAAGGAATAGTCACAATAACCTATTGAGTAATATTATATCAAAAATGTCATATATTAATTCAAACTTGGGACACATTTATTTAATTCTTCCATGTGCCAAGCACTACATTGAACAAAGCTGAATAAAAAATTATCTGCCAATAGCACAGAAGATGAAATACTGATACACTAACTTCCATGAAAGGAATAATGTATTAAGTGCCATGAAAAGGATACAAGTATGCTGGAAAAACAGGATGTAGAGTCTTTTTAGTTGTTAGGGTAAGGGGAAGTATGTAGCACAGCAAGTGGTGGAATATACAAGCCATACAGTGAAAAATATTTAGATGCAGACTGGAAGAGAGTGAAAAGGCACTTCTGTAGAGGGAATAAAGTCTAAGAACTAAGGACCGGGGATATTTAGTAAACAGAAAGTACATTTTGTTTGGAGCACAAGCCATATAAAAGTTAGCCTGGGCCACATCATGCAAGATGAATGAAAATAATTTAGAATGGTCAATGGAGAACAAGTATACATTTTAGGGAGGGGAAAGGAGGGAGGAAAGAAAAAAAATCAGAACTGGGTTTAACTTTGTATCAGCTTAATTTATATAGTAATGTTGCAGACATGAGTGAGAGGAAGGGTCCAAATGGAGAAATTCAAAACAATCACTGTGCCAGAGACTGCTAGTTGATTACTCTAGCTTGTCTCCCCCCACTACTATTATAATAATATTTAGCGACAAAAGCTCATTTTTAGCCAGGCACATGGCCACCCAGCCAAAAAGAAACATTTCTCGCAGTCTCTTATGGCCATATGACTCAATTCTGCCCAAAGCTATGTAAGAAGATATGCTTGTGGAACCTTTAAGAAGGCAATTTAAAGGAGATGGCCTTTTTGTCTTCTTCTTTCTAGCTGCCTGTAATGAAATATAAATGGCTGAAGCTCCACCAGCCATCTTGGATCATGAGGTGATCCTGAGGATAAAAATCACATGGGGTAGAATTCAAAGGTCTGCCTTACTGTCACCTTAGATCTAATCTGACTACCTTCAGGCTTCCTTTATCTGAGGAAAACATTTCCATTTTATTTAAGCTAGTATTATTGTGGGCTTTTCTGTTATGTGGCCAAATCTAATCCCAACTAATAAAATAATCCATGTGTTCTCCTATTTCATTGGAATCCTTTTTTACCATCATATAAATAGGTGAGTGCTTTCAATTTTAAATAGTTAAGTTGCAACTTACCACTAAGAGCCTCACTTCAGAGCACCTTCTTGCAAGCTGCCGAATCAGTGAATGAGCCTCAGGTAATAAAGGTTTTTCAAGACAAGCCAACAAAGCATAAAGCCATCTTCCCTAAATAAAATGTTTAAAAGTCATAATTAGACAATACTGAGCCATAAATTTAACTTACTTTTAAAAATGTCCCTGGGTGTGATGGCGCCACCACACCTGTCTAATTTTTCTACTTAATAAAAAATTAGTGTAAATGTTTATAATTTACTGAGAAATGCAAAACATGAAGAAGAACCCAAATGGTTAATAATGATAGAATCAAAGTAAATTAAGAGACAGTAAGATAATGGCAACTATGTAAATTATACCATATAGAAATATATGTATGAAATGTGAGCTAAAAATATATATATACACACATTCATTACAATTATGTAAAAGACATGAGTGATCACTTAACGAATCAGAGACAGTAATTTTACCTTTTTTTTTTGAGACAGAGTCTCACTCTGTTGCCCAGGCTAGAGTGCCGTGACGTCAGCCTACCTCACAGCAACCTCAAACTCCTGGGCTCAAGCAGTCCTCCTCCCTCAGCCTCCCAAGTACTAAAAGCTTAAAGCCAACTGTAACAACTAGCTTCTTTGTGGTACAACTTAGTGTCTCCTATAATACCATATCTATTAATAAAAGGAACCAGGCCGGTGCCATGGCTCACGCGCTGTAATCCTACACTCGGGAGGCCGAGGCGGGCGGATGCTTGAGGTCAGGAGTTCGAAACCAGCCTGAGCAAGAGCAGACCTTTCTTTTACATAATAGAAGAAAATTAATTGGCCAACTAATATAATAGAAAATTAGCCAGGCAGGTGGTGCATGTCTGTAGTCCCACTTTACTAGGGAGGCTGAGGCAGTGAGGATTCCTTGAACCCAGGAGTTTGAGGTTGCTGTGAGCTAGGCTGACGCCGGCACTCACTTCTAGCCTGGCAACAAAGCGAGACTCTGTCTCAAAAAAAAAAATAAATAAATAAATAAAAAATAAAAAATAAAAAAAAGGAACCAGCACTCCTGAAGAAAAGACTAATTTTCTATCGAGCCAGAAGTGTCCAAAATACATTTGAATCATCTTGGCACACCAGAAAGTAAGAACCTATAAAAGTCTACTAAGGGTCTACTAGGTGTGGGGCAAATCCCTGTAATTCCAGCTACCTGGGGGACTGAGGCGGGAGAATCACTTGAGCCAGAGGTTTGAGATGAGCCTGGGCAACATGGCATGTCTCTGTCTCAAGCCACTAAAAATTGTGTCAAAGGACACAGAAACTGACCTCAAGTGGTCCCACTGGCCAAAAATAGAATAATTTGAGCACCAAGAATAATAATGACTCCAATGGATTGAACTATATGAAATGTCAAAATTCCTAAATTCAAGCCATGTGTGGTGGCTTATGCCTCTAATCCTACTCTTTGGGAGACCAAGGCAGCAGGATTGCTTGAGGCCAGGTTCATGACCAGCCTGAACAGAGTTAGACTCCACTCTACAAAAAATAGAAAAATTAGCCAGATGTGGTCATGCCAGTAGTCCCAACTACTGAGCCCGAGGCAGGAGGATCACTTTAGCCGAGGAGTTTGAGGTTGCAGTGACTATGATGATGCCACTGTACTCTAGCCCCTTCCTGAGACCCTTCTCTCAAAAAAAAAATTGCTAAATTGAAATGTAATCCAATTAGAAACAACCTTAGTGGTCATCGTTGAAAATTGCCACAGTACCCCTCACTATTTCAAAACTTAGTAAATGAAGGCAAAATCTATTGTGTATCCTGCGGGTTTTTTCTTTTTTGTTTTGATTTGCTTTTTTTGAGACAGGGTCTTGCTCTGTCACCCCAGCTAGTATCAGTGGCGTCATCATAGCTCACTGAAACCTCAAACTCAAACTCCTGAGCTCAAACAATCCTCCTGCCTCAGCCTCCTGAGTAGCTGGGACTTCACACATGTGCCACAATGCCTGTCTAATGTTTTCTCTTTTTAGTAGAGATGGGTTCTTGCTCTGGTCTTGAACTCTTGAGCTCAAGGAATCCCTCCCAGAATGCTAGAATTACAGGTCTGAGCCACTGCACCTGCCTGTTTTGTATAAACTATATATTTCAGGGTAACTAAATTGTTGAAGGGAAGTTACTTTTTATAGAAAAAATTCTAGCTAATACATGAATAGGGAATGACAGAAAACCCAGCATTTCTGAACCTCTAGTGAAATAATGGACCTAAGCAACAGTCATCAATGGCTGCCCAAACCAACGGTTAGTAGGTATGAACTTTACCTGAATCCAGTGATCAACTTTTTGACACTAAAAGTAGAACAACTAGACATTATGTACCTCCTGATGTGACACAGCAGCACCCACAGAGTCTTGTCAAACAAACAAAAACACTCCATATAATCAGGCCTTTAGATCTTACCAGTTTACAGAAAATATGGGGGTAAGTGAACACATTAAATATCACCATGAAGACATAGTTAGTCCAGAACAGAGGAAATTTTACGAGACAAATGACTCAGTTTTTCAACAAATAAATGGCAAAGAAGAAATCCAGGTTGTGGTGGGGAGACTTAAGATAATTGTCACTGGCAAAATAATTAAGTGGCTACATATGTAACTATTTGACTCTGGATAAAAAGGATTCCATTCATTTGAGTTAGGTTATTTCTCTGAATTAGCAGCTATTGACATTTAAAGGTACCAAAATGAAAAAACACAACAACAAAAAAACAAGAGGTTTACTTATGCTGAAGATGCTATTGCAAAGCGATTCAAGACCTATGGTTTTTATTCTTCTTTTTTTTTTTTTAACATTTTTCTTTTTGAGACAGAGTCTTGCTCTGTCATTCCGGCTAGAGTGGTGCAGTGGCATCATCATAACTCACTGCAACCTCAAACTCCTGGGCTCAAGTGGTCCTCCTGCCTCAGCCTCCTGATTAGTTGGGACTACAGGTATGCACCCCTGCACCCAGCTAATTTTTCTTTCTTTCTTTCTTTTTTTAGTAGAAATGGGTCTTGTTTTTGCTCAGCCTGGTCTCTAACTCCTGAACTCAAGCAGTCCTCCCGCTGTCGTCTCCCGGAGTGCTAGGATTACAGGTGTGAGCCCATGCACTCAGCCCCTATGCTTTTTTCTATACTTTAAAATCTTCTCTAAGTCTTTTGTTAATCTAAGCTTTTTCTATTTTTATATAACTTTTTGAAAGAAAAAATGACCAATATACTTGAATATTTCTTCTTTCATAACTGCAGAGTACTGCTAAAACCTCAGTAATTGGCAGTCAGAAGCTCTGTTTAAGTGCTGGTTATTTGATTTACTGAACCATCAATTACATAACCTTTCTGAACCATGTGTTATGACCTGCTAAAAGTGAAAAAAAACAAACAAACAAACAAACAACTCTGAGCTGTTGTAAGGATCAGAGATACTGGACATAAAGCACCTAGGGCAATGTTTATCCTTCATCTTAATCCTTACTACCAGCAGAGAGTAACGTATTAACCTCATTTATGATCAACATAGTTAAGGGCTTAGCTCTGGAGGGAAGCTGCCTGAGTCTGAATCCTACCTCTAGCATTTACTAGCTCTGCGATGGTAGATATTATTTAACTTCTCTCTGCCATGGTTTCCTTACCTAGACTGATTATACTACCCACCTTATGAGGATTAAATGAGTTCCTATTATGAAGCACTAAGAAAATGCTTGGCACAAATTGCCTAGTAAAGTTATCATCATTAGCAGCATAATTATTGTATATCAAGAAACTAGATGTTGAACGTGTGTATTCCAAAAGTATCTTGTTTGGGGAAGAAGAATGGACACAGGATTACTTGCCTTCCAAAATATTTAAAAATACTTTAAAGCACTTTTTTTTGAGACAGAGTCTTATTCTATCACCCCAGCTAGGTACAGTGGCATCACTGTAGCTCACTGCAACCTCAACCCTGGCCTTAAGGGAACTTCTTGCCTCAGCCTCCCAAGTAGCTGGTATATGCCAAGAATGCCCAGATAATATTTCTAGTATCTTTTGTTGTTTTTTTTAGTAGAGACGAGGTCTCACTTTTGCTCAGGCTAGTCTTGAACTCCTGTGCTCAAGCAATCCTCCCTGGCCGTGGCCTCTCAGATGCTAGGATTACAACGTGTGAGCAACTGCACCTTGGCCTGCTATAAAGCTTTAACAAAAGTACATTGGGGCATTGGATAAAATCCTGATCAACAGAACAAAAATATCGTCCAGGAGAGATCTTAAAATAATGTGTTTATTTTCTTAGAATTGTAGAATGTAAAAAAAGTTTACAAATAAATTCCAGGTAGAATTTCAATATAAGAAATAAATCAAAACATGTACTAAATAAAAATATGTCCCAACTAAAAACAAACAAGGACATAGGCAATTAAAAGAATATAAATGCCCAATTGGCTCATCAGCTAAATCACGCTGGTCAAAATACCTAGTAAAAGAATTTATGCATAAAGATATTAATTAAAGCACGGCCTGCAAAAGACTGCAAATAAACCGAATGTCCATCAATAAGAGGACTGGTTAAGTAAACTATAGTACATCTGTACGGTGGAAGATTATGAAGTTACAAAAAAAGAATGAGGAAAATGTCTATACAGCTACAGTATGATTTCTAAGATTTATTAAGTGAAAAAAAGGTAAAGAACTGATTGTTTAGTGAGTGTGTGTAGGATCGCAAATATATTTATACATACTTGCTTATACGTTTAAAAAGAAACAATGAAAGGATTAACAAAAAATAATAAATGTTAACTATAAGAGAAGGGATAAAAGACGCTAATGAGGATAAAGGTGAATGCCAAAAATATTCCAAATGTACCTTGAATTATAATTTTGATTTTGGAACAACATAACTATTTTATGTAATTATAAAACAAGATTAAATAAAAAGGAAAACCACTTATCAAATTCTACCAAATGAATCTTACAATGTATCAAGTTGGTGCCATAACCACACAGAGAATAACTTGAAGTGACCTTAAACACTGTTTTCTGACTATGTGTCCCGGGTGAGATATATCACGACCAAAAAAACCTGCAAGGAATTCTTAAACTTATTTCAATAGTTAT